ATTATCCATGATAATTATATTTCAGTGAAAGTGAAATGCAAATTTTTATGACCTCTTTCACTTTCGCTGTGATTTAAAATGCAGCTTCTTTAATTTTATTCTTCCGAAACAGGAGAATAGAGTTCTGCTTTTCTGTATCATGTAGGTCACCTTCCTCAGAGAGTCACCTTAACATTAGAGACACTTCTCTTTTTTTTCTTTCTGAGCAATTGCTGTGCCTCAGTGAAGGTCATGCACAGAATGAACTAAACAATGTGGCCTCCACAATGTTTCTAGGTGCTATTAGAAGTTTATGAGTGAGGAAGAGGTTCTCTCCTCCTTGCCAAACTTTTCTGAAGGTATCAGCTATCTTCCTATGTCCACATAGCATCCAGGAATAATGGATTCTGAGAGTTGGAAAAGACCAGAAGGGCCATCCATTCCAAGCACCTGCCATACAGAAATCAGAACCGTGTTAATGATTAGATCAAAACCAAGATTATTTCTAAAATCATATGTAAAATTCTAAATAAGAATGTCTATATCTCCTAATCCATCAATTTAAGCTGCATTGGGTATTGATGACATTAATTTTAACACCTCTCTTGTTCTAATTCATTTCTTCTACTTTCAGTTCCTTAACTTTTTCAGTCCATCAGAATGAAGTTCACACAACCAACTTGAGAAATCTGATTTCTTAAAAAAATATAATCTCCCCCTGCAATCAGCTAATGACATCTGAATCATGAACTACAATAGCATTCATCAGGAGAAATAAATAGCAGCATTATACCATTGCAGTGAGTATTTCTGTGCATGGTTTTCCTGACATCTCTATTTCTGAAAAAGCAAGAGATGACTCCAGAAGGCAAGCTTTAGGAAAAAAAAAAAAAGGTTGTGAAACCCTGACAAAAGTGACCTAGTGGCAGGTGACAGTGGAGCAAGGCTAGTAGAGGACTCTGAGCAGATATATTGGCTGCTTGGTTCCCAACACACACATCAATTAATTGAGTCCTAATAATACTGTCTGAAGTGGATTTTTGATATCAGACAATGGAGAATCTTGATAGTAGCATTACATTAGTAACAGAAAGACATTATTTCATTGCTCTGAACAAGACAGCCCTTGTAAATTTGTCTCATTCAAAAGAAAGAGAAGGGATAAGAAAAACGGAAGGTATATTCAAGATTAACAGTGTGTATAGGGAGCGGGGGATGACATGGACCCCCATACATTTTTCAGTTTTAAAGTGCATTGCGTTGGTTTTATTGTAAGCTGCTTTGAGTCTCTTTTGTAGAGAGAAGAAGCAGAGTATAAGTAACAGGAACATCAGAATAATAACTCTGTCCCTCCATATAATTTTCCTTTGTTCCTCCAGTTTATAGCATTATAGAGAGTGAGATGTTGTTGCATGCCTTAAAGTCATTTCTGACTTATGGCAACCTGAAGGCAATCCTATCCCAGGATTTTCTTGGCAAGATTTGTTCAGGGGAGGTCTCTCCCTCTGAGACTGAGATGGTGTGACTTGCCCAAGGCAACCTGATGGATTTTCAGGGCTGAATGGGGATTCAAATCCTTGTCTCTAGAGTTGCAGTCCAATGCACAAACTACTACACCATGCTGAACACACCTACAATTCATTCATTTGTTATGCTTACATTTCTCTTGGTAATTTTGCTTACCCTTTTTGTTTGAATGTGTAAACTGTCCTTCTTTATATTTAACTGATTATGGCAATGCTTTGTGGACTGAAGGAAGAATTCATATAGGTGAAGAACTTGTAGGCGGAATGCCCTAATTTCACTTGCCATAGCTACACCCCCACACCATTCAAGTTGTTCATACGTGTTTCTTCATATGTGTACAGGAACTGGTAAAATTCCTTATTACTTGCTAATGTCCTGAATTAAGTGGATCTGTAGACTGAAATGTTTGCATAAGTTAAGTATGTTAAGCAAGAATAGCAATGAATATTTTATTATGAGAAAGGTAAAGTGTAAATAATAAAATAAAATATTCCTAAACACATATGTTCATTGGGTTGCAAGAAAGTTCAAGGTGTTTTCATTGTGATGTGGATTTTGAATAATTCTTCAAACTTCCTTGATGGAAGGAGATTTTAGAAATGTAAGTGGTGGTTCAGCTACAAACTATCTAGTTCAGAGACCTTGCTGTCTCAAAGACTCTTAAATCCAGGCACAACTCCTAATAAACTTGCCATCAGCTATTACTAGCTTTCCCCATCACTCTCCCATTTTTTTGAGCTGATGACAGCAAGGACCATGTAGTCTTTATCTTTATGTTATATATGATCTTGAGCAAGTACCTGTGCATTCACTGTACTTTCTCACTGAATACACCAAAATTGTAATTTCTAGAATCTCAGTCTGAAATACAGGACCAGGATTTATTGGAAGCTACAATTCTGATGTATCCAGTCTTCTTATTCTGTGCCCACGTGTCATTCCAAATGTATGGAATTAAGGTGAATCTATTACAGAGTTTTCTTGGAAATAATTGTTCAGAGTAGGTTTACCTTTGCCTACTCTGAGGCTGCGAGAATGTGACTTAGAATAATAGAAGAATAAAGTTGGAAGCAGATAGCTGATGACAGCTAGTCCAAACCCATGCCATGCCATAAAAGCACAAAGTACCCTTGACAGATGCTCATCCAGTCTCTGCTTAAAAGTCTCCAAGGAAAAAGCTTCCATCACACTTGGAAGCAGAAAGTTCCACTGTTGAATAGCTTTTACAGTCAGGAAGTTCTTTTCAATGTTCAGGTAGAATCTCCTTTCCTGTAATTTGAACCCATTGCTCTGAGTCCTAGTTTCCAGGCATTTTCAAGATGGCCCTGTCTCTAAAATTTCATGCATGACTGATGACTTTATACATGAACATTCTTTTAACAAATGACATAATAATAATAATAATAATAATAATAATAATAATAATAATAATAATAAAAAACAAATACCCCGCTACCATCTCCCGCAGGACTCGGTGCGGCTTACAAGAGGCTGAGTCCAAAATACATCAAAACAAAAAACACAACCACAACAATACAATACAACAATAAATAACTCATAGCAAAGCAAAAACAATAACAAAGTATCACGATGCAATTTAAAAACCTGGCAGGGCCAAATGTAAAGAATTGTTGGATTGGACAATGTGGAATTGAATTTACGGATTATGAGATGATAAACATTGAGCACTAGATTGTTTTTAAGGATTGTGATACATAATGGATTGTTTTAATTGTCTTAACTGCCTAATTGTTTAATTACTGTTTATATGTTTTACTCTTTTACCTTGTTGTTGTGCCGGCATCGAATTGTGCCTTTTTGTAAGCTGCCCTGAGTCCCCCCTCGGGGGTTGAGAAGGGCGGGGTAGAAGTGCAAGAAATAAATAAATAAATACATTCTTGTGGGTTTTTTCGGGCTATATGGCCATGTTCTAGAGGCATTTCTCCTGACGTTTCGCCTGCATCTATGGCAAGCATCCTCAGAGGTGAGGTCTGTTTGGTAACTGGGAAAAAGGGGTTTATATATATATATTATATTCCCAGTTACCAAACAGACCTCACCTCTGAGGATGCTTGCCATAGATGCAGGCGAAATGTCGGGAGAAATGCCTCTAGAACATGGCCGTATAGCCCGAAAAAACCCACAAAAATAAATAAATAAATTGGGAGGGGAGAGGCTGACTACCCACGAAAGGCACAACAACAAGCTTCCTGACTGCTGCTTTTCTTCCTCCTTCCTCCCCCTGAGCGGAGTCATTCCATGTGGGGCCTGGAAGCAGGGGCTCCTTGATGTCTTCATTTTTGGGCCTGTTCCTGGGGTTGTTTGGGGTGCAATGGATAGACCACATCAGCTCTAGATTATTAAATATATTTTTCTGTGGGTGAACAGATGGTGACTACTGGATCCCATATCTTCTGTATCAGAGTTGATGTGGCCCATCCAATACAATTTTCTGAATCAGCACCCCAAATAACCAAACCAATTATAAGTTGACCAAAAATCAATTTGTAACCATTTTGATACTAACATTGGAGAATGGTCCGTGGTCAAAGTGGTCCCTGGTCAAAAAAAAAGATTGGGAACCACTGCTATACATGAAGCTCCCCTCTCACTACCACTTTCTTTGGACTTATCCCTGATTATCAGAAAGAAGGTTTTAAAACTGAAGTATATGGATAAATTCTCCTGGAGGAAAAAAAAACCCCACATCCTCTGTCAATTTTAAAGACATGAATCACACCTGACGATAAATAATTTCTTGCCTGAAATCTGCATGAAGAGTAACCACAAACCCAGTCACATGTAACCATGAAAACAATGCAGTGCAGTATGAGAGACAACAGCTTTAATGATTTTCATGACACTTCTGTCTAATTTGTCTCTAGATTTGGGTATTTAGCAGTAACAAGTTTATGGCATAGTGTTATCTCTCTTGCCAGTTTCCTTCACTGGGGAGATGCAGAATGAGAAATGTTTCACTTTCTTTCCACTGAGCCAATTTGAGGTGCAGTGTTAATTACAAAAATTGAAGAGAAATCTTTAATAATTACCCTTCATTAATTTTGTGATGAATGAAGGCTCCTACAGGGGATGGAAAGGGATTCATGTGCTGTTAAGCTGTTCAGGAGTATGTGTGTGTTTGTGTTCTGTTACTTGCCAATAAATTGGTGAAAGGGGGTTGGGTTGCAGTTTTCTGTGGAGGGAAATAGTATAAACTAAGAGCACTAGTTAGATGTTCTCTATTTAATTAGAAGGAAGATGAAAAACCAAACTCCCTCAAATCTGAAAATCCCTTAAGCCAAGATTCTAAGATGTATTTATTATTCATAGCTGAGAGAAGGCTTTAGAAGTATAGTCATCGGACAGTAGGATTTTCCTCCGCCCCCACTAAACTCTAGATAGAGAGGCAGTGAAATGTACAAAGAGAGAGAGCGAAACAAGAAAGCACAAACGATTCATCCATTATAGCAAGAGAAGTAGATAAATGAACTTACACACAGCCATAATCACAATCATGAGACAGCCTCAACCCAGAAGAAGTGATGAAGCTGAAGGAAAGCGAGGCTGACAATTCATTCTGGGATGAGGGAAAAGATCAAGGTTAGACTTGTCAACCCTTAAGCAAGAGTAACTTCCAAGGTCTTTGTACCCTATCATCCTTTATTCGCTTTTCAGCTTTTTATATAAGAATACATACACTCTAAACAACATCTAAATTTGGCAAGGTCACTGTGAAGTCTCGGCCTAGTTTTACTCCTCAGTTCATTTCCCTGTTTTCTCTCTTGGAGGTGGACTGTTCCATTTTGCTGAGTTTTAGGGGAGGAACTTAGGATTCCCCTAGAGACCTAGCTCTGTTGGTTCAGCCCTGCTGGCTTTGAGCTTGGTGGAAAGACTCTTTCCCTGCATTCTTTCTTTGGCAGAGCTTTGAGTAGTTGAGCCAGGAAGTGTCTGGTCTGGCTTAGCGATCTGAAACAGGCATCCTAAGCACATACATGCCAAAGATTAGAGTTGTACATGCCTTATAGATCAGAGCTGTACATGTTAAAGACCAGAGATCAGAATAGTATTTGCCTTAGGGATTAGAGTGGTACTTTTCTCAATTATCATAGCCTGTGTTTACCATCATAGAGAGTACTTACCTCATAGAATATAGTTTTGTTCTTTACCTCAGAACACATACCATCAGTATAACTCATAGTCTCCTGATATCTAAACTTACCTCAGAGTTCTTCACTATTCTATTCCTGTATCATTTTAGTAATCAAACTGCGCCTTTGTACTACTTTGTTTTGATTCCCCTTTATTGAACTCTAACAGAAGTTCTCTTTGCTTTGTTCAGTAAATTTAATCTCATCTCCAGAATCTTATTTTAAAGAATTAAAGTACATATAGGGCATACCGATGGTCACTGGGAAAATAGCCAGACATGCACATAGTTTTCTTTCAATTCCCGGAGTGCCATCACAGTCACCATCTTCTGCCATCCCACTTTCCCAACTAATTTTAAAATGCCCCAGTTTCTCTCTCCTCCCAATTTCTCTTTTTGTCCTCAGCTGATTTCAGTTGCTGCAAACTAAGATCAAAGAGCAAAAGCAGTTTTCATTGCACTAATTCAGCAGAAAAGGAGGAAGAACAAATCCTATGTAAAATCATACTACGTATTTTTGACATTAATATTGAAATCTGAAATATATACAGAAAAGGCCGGGCTGGTAGCACAACTGGTTAATCAGCTGCAATAAATCACTGCCAACCAAAAGGTCGGGGTTGAGCGCCTGACTGTTAATAGCTGTTAAAAAAATGCCCAGCTCACTGTTGACCTAAGCAGTTCAAAAACAGCTGCGAACTGTGAGTGGTTGAATCGAGCAACCTCCAGGATCTGAAATGGAAGAACTGCTGAATGGCCTCTATCTGTCTGTATGTCTTGTATGTCAAAAACTGCATTGAATGTTTGTTGTTGTATATGTACATTGTGATCCGCCCTGAGCCCCCTTTGGGGTGAGAAGGGTGGAATATAAATACTGTAAATAAATAAATAAATAAATAAATAAATAAACCCAATCTTAACGTTCTTTGTAGACTCAGGTAGAAGCAAACTGCTGCAGTCTTTCCTAACTTGAGTGTTTAGTAAAGAATTTTGCCTTCACTTTTAAAACTATGTCTCCTTCAAAATGTTGATATTGCCTGGTCCCATGGATCCTTGTGAAATGTTGGAAGTTATGGATAACATCAGGCATAATTGCTGACAATGCACCTATTGCCTAATATTCCTTTGAGGAAAGGTGATCTGCTATACTTTCTTCCAGGTCTTTTTTTGATGAATTGTAATCAGCACGCATTTGGATGAATGTCAAGGAAATCAACAGGGAACCATCCTTTACATGATACAAAGAATAATTTATCTGTTCCAAATAGATCTGAAAAGCCACAGCATGCTAATCTCTTAAGTAGGACCAAACAAATTATGTCATGAGAAGGATTTTTAAATTCCACATTAGCCACACACCCAATAATAATAGAAAAACAGTAGCAGCAGGTTGCCTCAGAAAAAAATATAGAAAGTTAATTTGGGGTTAAATTAATTATGATTTTAGTTTTTACAGTTTTGCAGCACTTAGCCCATATCCTAGCCGAAGTAATCCAGGATGCATGCAGAGTGACTTAACAGGCCTGGTTACCAGCCTGGAGAGATGTTGCCTAGTCTTACTTAGTTGCCTAGCAACTGAGTGAGGCCTAGGAGATTTGCTCCAACTTCTGACTCCTCTATAAATTACATATTAACCATTCTGTTCCTGTGGTGTTTTGCATCTGTATCTTCCATATGTTCCTTAGGGCTAAGAGAAGTTATTTTTTTCATTCAGTCTTGAATTCAGACTCAATTATTCTGAATTTCTTCCTAACCAAACAAGGTGGACATAATGAGGAAAGAAAGAGAGAAGGAAGAGAAAATACATAGGATTTAAACTTGGTCTAGGCATACACATTAAAATTAGCTGATTACGTATTATTTAACACATCTTTAGACTGAATGTTGGATGTCAAATAGATGTGTTTTCAATATCGGAGAATGAATATTTTAGTTAGAGGAACATCATTTAGGATCCATCCATGTTGACCCATCAGTTAAAGTTAAAGTGGACATACAATTTGCAAATACATATGCTGCAGTGAAAAAGGGTGGCTTCTATGAGTGAGCTAAAATGGTATATGGTTAATGTCATCCTAATTCCCCTTTTTTGTTCTTGTTGCAGAACATTAAAATTCCTTACTGGCCACAAAATGGCCCAAATTACCTTCCAAACCCTCCTTCCTCTCCTTCAACCCTCCTCCCCAAACATGGCCACCTCCTTGATGGGAAATTACAACAGGAGTGGAAGACAAGAGCCTGGCAATTTTCCAATAGTAGAATGCTTAGTGACAAACATCCCCATCTCCAACTTTTTGGGGATTCTCCAAAAGTCTGAGGAAATGAAATCATGGAAGTATAGGAAAATAAATGGATGGTGAGCAAGCCAGTTGTCCAGAGTGATTGGAGGTACATTCTGGTACCAAGGTAAGTAGATGTTTTGGATGATGTTATCTGTCTCTCCCATCAATGAGCCCTCCCTATAGAGGTACGATCAGCCTCTTCACTGATGGTGTTTAGGAAGAGACTCAAAACTTGGCTGTTCAAACAAGCATTCGGCTAATCTGTGGCAATTCGAATATTGATGACTAAGGACAGGAAACTTGGACAACGAACTCTGGATTGTGATTTTAACTCGAGCTATATGGGATTATTATTGGTGGCCCAATAATTTGTTATTGTATGTGTATATGTTTTTAAATTGTAGATTGTTTTAACTGCTGTAAACCGCAATGAGTCGCCGTTCCAGGCTGAGATATTAGCGGTATACAAGTGTACCAAATAAATAAATAAATAAATAAATAAAGTTGCAAGGAGCAGAAGAAGGAGGCCCTGAATCTTCTTGTTGCAAGTCTTCCTATCATAATCACTAGAGGGCGGAAGGAGGCCGGTGGCATCATCCTGGTGTGCAATGTTTGCTACGTTGATGACAATGCCGCCTGTGTGCATTCAGAAGAAGCCACAATAAATACCTTTGCAGAAACATACGAGAAGCTCAGCCTTTCACTGAACATCGAGAAAACCAAAGTGCTCTTCCAGCAGTTACCAGCCAGTCCCTCTCCAGTGTCAGAAATACAGCTTAATGGTGTAACATTGGAAAATGTTGACCATTTCTGCTACCTTGGCAGCCACCTCTCCACAAAAGTCAACATTGACACTGAAATACAACACCGCCTGAGCTCTGCGAGTGCAACATTCTTCTGAATGAAGCAGAGAGTGTTTGAGGACCAGGACAGCCATAGGGATACCAAGGTGCTTGTTTATAAAGCCTTTATCCTCCCAACCCTCCTATACACTTGCAAAATGTGGACTGTCTACAGACGTCATACGCAACTTCTGGAATGATTCCATCAGCGGTGCCTCCAAAAAATCCTGCAAATCTCTTGGGAAGACAGGTGGACAAATGTCAGCATGCTGGAAGAAGCAAAGATCACCAGCACTGAAGCGATGTTCCTCCGCCATCAACTCCACTGGACTGGCCACATTGTCTGGATGTTCCATCACTGTCTCCATACTCTACTCTGAACTCAAGAATGGAAAATGGAATGTTGGTGGACAGGAAAAGCCAACCTTAAAAACTGTGGCATAGACACTGAGAACTAGGTACCCGTGAGCACTCTAATTGGAAGTCAGCTGTGACCAGCAGTGCTGCGAAATTTGAAGAGGTATGAATGGAGGGCAAAAGAGCGAAACGTGCCAAGATGAAGGCACATCAAGCCAACCCTGACTGGGACCGCCTTCCACCTGGAAACCAATGTCCTCACTGCGGGAGAAAATGCGGATCAAGAATAGGGCTCCACAGCCACCTATGGACCCACTGCCAAGAAATCACATCTGGAAGACAATCATCCTCAAGCTACAAGGGATCGCCTAAGCAAGTAAGCTACGAGCACAGACCTCCATTCCTCTGAATGGCTGATAGGTAAATTTCAGGGTCATTTGCAATAGTGCTATAATTGAAACTGAGGCTACCAAGAGTTAAGTTATAATGACATTACAACTATTGGAACACCAAAATATGGGTTTTAATGCATAAGATCTGTAAACATTTTTACTTGTTGCTATCTGAATATATTCCTAGAGGTCTTGTAGCAGATACTAGCCCTTTTGTCTCTCACCTTCTAGCTTCCATGTCACAGGGTCAGTGAATCCACACTATACTAGAACCTTGTTGGTTACTCCCAACTAGAGTAAACCAGCTGGATCTATTGTTGAAGGAGGAGTCAACTTGTACTTAAACCTTACTGATTCAATAGGTTTGTTCTAGCTACACCTTACAATAGGATTTGAGCCTTAATTTTGGCCTCAATTTCAGAATAGCTATTTAAGGTAGTAAACCTCTTTTGAGGATATAATTCAGCAGCTTGGATAATTCATAAAAGTTCATCATCCCTCTGACCCAGAGTTCACCAGCTGCCACTGCATTTTTATGTCCTACATTGTTATGCAATATCGTCAACTGCAAACTGTGGGAATATTTTAGTACATGAGCTGCTGAACTTGCTAGCTAAGATGAAATCATGCTCAATGCTATAGAACAGGCTTAAGGAAGATGGGGACCTCCAGATATATTTTCCATCATCCATCACATTTACTATAATGCCTAGGGCTGCAACCTAATAGCATCTATAGTGACTCA